GGTGGGGAGAGGGAGGGAAGCTCGCAAGGGATTCGGCAGCAAACCAAGCGTGGCAGCAGATAGATATATGGCGCGGTCGAGTCGGAGAGAGTGAGCGAGAGGGGCATGGATAAAAAGAGGGAAGAGAGAGAGAGGAAAGGGAGGGGTGGGGGCGGTCGCGCCCCCGCCCCCGCGGACTAATGCTTGCCTGTTGTCCGACATCGACTTTGCTATTTCGGAGGCGACGTGGTGGTATAAGTGGTTCGACGTTGGACGTGTCCGTGTGTGCCTGTGTGTGAGTGTCGTGGGGTGCTGCTGCTGCTGCCGCGAACTCTCTCAGTCCAGTCCCATTCCTCCATCCGGCGGGCTTTACTCCTCGACGACGACGACGACGCCAAAGGCCGTGGTGGTGCAAGGCCAGCAGAAAACGGAGAGAAGCGAGAGGGAGAAGGGAGGGGTTCCGCAAAAATCGCAGAGTGGCGCAGAACTGCTACAGCAGCGCGCGGCGGAATATGATTGCCCTTCCCGCGCCCGCCCCGCAGCCCGCGTCGCTTCTGGAGCAGTCCGGACGGAGCGGGGCGGTCGTAGAACAAGGAGCCCACAAGGAGGACCTCGCGTACAGTGTTCGCGGCGGTGCGGGAGTGAGGGAGGGAGAGGGGAGGATCGGAAGGAACGGAGAACGGCGGAGCTGCATATCGGAAGGTCCTTCGCCCGCTCTCTCCTCTCCCCTCCTTGCTCTGCGCCGCTCTCCAACCGCCCCCTTTTCCCCTGTCACGCTTCGGAGGATGCCATGTTGAATCCCCATAATTCTGCAGTTTGTGTGTTTTAGTGGCGCGAGAGTGCGCGGGGGGTGCGGTGGGGGGCGGGCGCATGCCGTTGGGCTCTTTTGCCTTGATGGAGCGTGTCGGCCGAACCGTTTGAAAGTCAAACCGAAGCGCGCGGCACACACGGACGAGAGGTGCGCGGGGGTTGTCAACCCCCTCCTTCCCCCGCCACTTCTCTCGCTCTTCCTCGCATGCCCTGCTATAACCCGTTTTTGTCATGCTTCCTGTTGCAGGGCGGGCTGGACCTCAAGGACAACCTTCCTCCCGGCGCCGGGGCGTGGCCCTACCCCTCGGTGTACCACCCCTACGACGCGGCCTTCGGCTACCCCTTCAATGGGTAAGTACAACACGCACTCGCCGAACTCGTAGTCGTCCGTCCTGACTCTGGAGATTAGCTGACACGCGCGTCACGACGGCGGCGTCCCGGAGGCAAGCACGCCGCGCCGCCACCCCGAACGGGGAGGGATTGTTTTAATGTCAGAAAGCTGTTACCGACACCCATTCCACTCAGCGCTCCCATCGGCGCGGGGCGCGGCAGGGCAGGCCAGGCCGTCGGGGCGTGGGCAACCCTTACAAATCCATACAGTCCCTAATCCCCTGAGCCAGCAACCAAGCCTAGGCGGCCGGCCGGCCCACCACCCACCCC